ATTGCATCATGGGCTTGATATTATTTTCTGTTCAAGATTGTAGAAGCTCAGGGCAAAAGGCCAACCTCTTAAAGTTTGAGGTAGTGATATATATATTCTTGTAGAATCTGCCCGTTACAAGTGTCTGTTGAAGAAGATATAGTCGTTTATGATTGGTTTTGTCTTCTCATTTAATGCTCAGATTCTTTTAAATGTTGCTTCCTGTTCATGGACATTGTGTGCATTTCTTTTTGCCTTGTTAGCAGTTGTGTCTGAATTTAGCAAAGACCTAGGAACCTTTTTATCCTTTTCTGGTCACGTAGCTGTAGGGCGTTGTCCTTTTCTGAAAAAGTAATGTACTTTTTCTAACTCATGCATGCTTTTATTTTTGTGTGCGTTTCTTCTTCTTATTTTAATCGTGCTACTACGTTGAGAGTGCTTATGTGATTGTAGACGATGATTGAGTAGTCCTTTGAGAGTTGATTCTTTAAGTGTTGGCATGGTAGTCTTCGTTTGCGTCTATTAGTTCTATGCGTCTCAACCTTGTTCTTCATCTGATTATTTGACGTTGATGTTTTGACTTCTTCTATGGTCTGGTCAATATTGCAGATAGACGTATTTGTTCTTTGTCTAAAATATCTTTCTGTTTGTACGTCCTTCATCTTTTGTGTTGTTGACTTGATTCTTGACCTCCCTTTGTCTGACTTCTTATGAAGCTTGAGTTTGTCTTTTGTCATACCTCCGTTTGATATTAGACCCATAGTCGTCTAGAGCACACATGATACTTTGTCTATTCTGTTAGCTCAAGTGGTCTGATTCTCATGATGTGCCTTGCCTTGATTGTTTATTGGTCGATGTTGACTATCTAATTTCATCTGATGTTCAACCCATGTTTTCCTTGTTCAAGCTTTAGCCCTGTTTTGGCATTTCATCTGATACTTCAAGGTTTTGTCTTGTAGTAGGCCTCATCTAGTGTTTGTTGATTGTTCTTCTATTTTTTATTAGACCTAGTCTTGATGCTTGATCAACCATCAACTGCTTTGTTCAATTTTGTCCAGGCTTCATAGATCTTGTATTTAATGCATTTGATCTTGCATTAAATGTTTGCTTGGTGATTCTGGATTAGATGAAGTCTTTTGTACAGTTTGTTTATTTCTATGTCTGACTTTAATCATGACTTAGATGTGTCTGTACCTCTTCTAGCATTTTTGGCTACGTGAGTGTTGTCTTTCTCTGAAGAGTGGTTGTACTTGCTCTAACACACATAGCTTTGACTTGTGAATTCGCGCTCTTATATTTTTCTTCTTTCTTTTCATATCTTTGATAACTCTGTGCGCTTTTTCTTATGAATGGAGATGATGTATGATCTTCCTCGTTGTGACTAGTAGACTCTAAATGTTTTCCATCATGCTTCGTTTGCGTCTGAAACTCAAGTCCCCATCTTTGAACCATTTCTTTGTCTCCTCCTTATTCAACGTCTGATATTTGATCTTTGACCTTTGAGCTTCATTTTGCTTTTGATCAAACTTGTTCTTGTACCGTTTGAGGCTTGATCATCTTCTTATTCTGATCTTGATTTTACTTGATCTTTTCATCTGATATCTTGTAGCTTTTCTCTTTTATCTTGATTCCTCATGCTGCTTCATTTTGTCTTGGTTCATACATATTTGCTATTCTTTCACTTGCCTGTACTTATGTCTTTTACTGAAACACTAACACACTTGTTAGAAATAACAATATGTATTATATTTGTCTCATTCAAAACCTTGCTAGGAGTTTCTTCATCTGACTTAACATAACAAACCACCATCTTTCACTCATCTACGCGTGTTTGGGAGCTTGTGTTATGTTCATAACCAAGACTCTAAAAGGGATAAATTTGCAAGTCGTAGTCGACGGTGTGTTTTCTTGGGATATCCATATGGTAAAAGGGGTTGGAGGATGTATGACTTGGAATTGGGTGTGTTCTTGACATCCAGAGATGTCATGTTTTTTGAAAATGAATTTCCTTATGCAGAAACACAGTCCTTGGCATCTGAGTTGTCTGACACAGAATCAGGTAGTCTTACACCTTGGAATAGTGTTGATAACGCTAATGAAATAGAGATTGTGCGGGCTGAGTCAGGAAATGGACACAATGTAATTTCTCTGCAAAAACCAGAAGCCTTGGTTACTGACATTCTTGATATTGGGACTGATACAATTGAAAATGGAGGCTCCAACATTGAGGTGAAAGAGCAGCCTTTGGGTCGTGGATGCCGTGCTAAAATACCATCCACTCGACTAAGAGGTTTTATGACAGACAACATCTGCAACATAGACCCCTCTCCAACTTCACTTGCTGCCTCTCACACCTCAGGTACACCTTATCCTATAACACATTATGTTAATTATGATAAGTTCTCTATACACCACAGACATTTTCTGGCAACTGTCAATGCAAGTATTGAACCTAAGTCATTTGCTGAAGCCATGAAAGATGAATGATGGTAGCAAGCCATGCAGACTGAGATACAAGCATTGGAGAATAATGGAACTTGGATGTTGGAACCATTGCCACCTAGAAAGAAAGATATTGGGAGCAAGTGGATTTATCGAATCAAGTATAAATCTAATGGTTCGATTGAACAGTTTAAAGCCCGACTCGTGATACTTGGAAACAACCAAGTTGAAGGACTTGACTATACTGAAACCTTCGCTCCAGTTGCGAAGATGGTAACTGAGCACACATTTCTAGCTATTGCGGCTGCTAGAATTTAGGAGCTCCACCAAATGGATGTTCACAATGTTGTTTTGCATAGAGACCTGGAAGAGGAGGTATATATGAAACTTCCTTTAGGATTTCGATCTGGAGCTTCAGGTAAAGTTTGTAGACTTCACAAGTCATTGTATGGGTTGAAACAAGCTCCTCGATGCTGGTTTGCAAAATTTGCTGGTGCTTTGAAACACTATGGATTTACACAATCCTCCTCTGATCATTCACTCTTTACATTACAACGTGCAAATGTGCAACTCTATGTGTTGGTCTATGTCCATGATCTCGTGATTTCAGGCAATGATGGTGTTGCCATCAAAGCCTTCAAAACATACTTGTGTGCATGTTTAATTTTCATATGAAAGATCTTGGAATGTTGAAATATTTTTTAGGCATTGAGGTGGCTCGTAACTCTACTGGAATTTTCTTGTGTCAATGCAAATACGCATTGGATATTATATCTAAAACGGGATTGTTAGGAGCTAAGCCAGTTGGCTTTCCTATGGATCCTAATCACTGCCTATCGTTAGCTAAAGGTGCTCTCCTTCCAGATCCAGAACAGTATAAAAGGTTGGTGGGATGGTTACTTTACTTGTCTATTACTAGGCCTGAACATTCTTATTGTGTGCATACACTTGCACAGTTCATGCAACATCCACGACAAGAACATTGGGATGCTGCCTTACGAGTTGTGCATTTTTTGAAGGCTAATCCTAGACAAGGAATTTTGTTAAGTGCTAATTGTGATTTACAACTCTATGCTTGGTGTGACTTAGATTGGGCTAGTTGTCCTTTGACTAGGAAATCTCTTACTGGTTGGTTTATTCTTCTTGGTAATTCACCCATCTCATGGAAAACTAAGAAACAACACATTGTGTCCGTTCTTCTGCAGAAGCAGAATATCGTTCTATGGCTACTACTACTTGTGAGCTGAAATGGCTGAAGGAACTCTTATCATGTTTTGGTATTAATCATCATAGACCTATAAAACTCTATTGTGATAATCAGGCTGTGCTTCACATTGTCGCTAATCCCGTTTTCCATTAGCGCACCAAACATATCGGAGTGGACTGCCACTTTATCTGTGATGAACTTTCGCGAGGAACTATTGCTACAAGTCATGTGCCTTCTCATGCTCAGCTAGCAGATATCTTCACCAAGGCTTTAGGAAAGACTCAATTTGATTGTGCACTTTTCAAGTTGGGCATTTGTAATCCATATGCTCTAACTTGAGGGGGGTATTGAGATATCCCTTGATCCTTTGATAGTTTATGATATCCCCTAATATTCTTTATGAATATTCTTTACTGTTATTGTGATTGATTTGGTTACCACAATTATAATATTTGTTATAATGGTAACAATCTGTACCGATTCTATTTAGGAATAGTTGTTGTGTAATTAGCATAAATTAAGGTAGCTATTTATGTAATCTTTGTGTATACATATTTGATCTGGGTCAGCAATAAAGAACAAGAATTACATTGCAAATTCTTATTTAGGTACAATTCTAACTCTAGTTTTAGCATGTGTATAGGTAACGTTTGTAAAATTGATTTTACAAAATTAATTATGATCTTAGGTGCTTTTTTTTTTTATAGCAATATGAGTTATATCTTAATACTTTTATTTTAAAAAATAAACCATCATTATAATTTAATATATTTTTTTATTCAAATATAAAGAATACCTAAAATGAATCATTAAAATAATATGTTCGTAATTTTAATTTTTAAATTTAATATTATAATAGTAGTTTCTATTAAAAAAAATAAAGTTATCTTAATTTATTTAACTCAAAATCAATTTTAAGCTAAGAAAAAAATTGAAAAAGAAGAGCCTAAAATATTTTAGCACATTTATTTTTCAATAATAATAATAATGAGGTTGAATTATTTTGTATCTTTACATTTTATTTTAAAATTTTAAATAAAATAAAAATTTAATGTTATCATTAATTTTCAAATTTTAAAATCTTGAGATTATTAATTTTTTAAATAATAAAAGAATATAAAAATCAAATATCGCTTTATATATTATTATATTATTAACAAGATAGAATGATAGGTGAGTGAGCGGCGACAGCGAGTGATGATGTAGGAGAAAACGGAACAGGAAGCGGCATTCGAGTTAGCAACCGCCACCAACTGTCAGAAAAGAAATCGCGGAGGTGGGCCCCACTCACATGGCCCTGGCCCTGAGTGTCACATTTTCGTATTATAATATAAATTTCACCACCTAACACTAACAGTGACAAAAAAAATCGCCACTGTTTCAATTCAATTCAATTCAAGATCTCAATCACATCACATCACGCCAAGATCCTCTTTCTTTCCAAAACCCTAGACTTAGACTCTATTATGCTTCCCCATTTCGATGTGGGGCTTCTTGGGAGCGGGTTAACTTAGCGAGGAAAATGCTCCGTCTGGTCTTTGCCGTCACTGCGCTGTTCCTCTTCCTCTGGGAGGGTTGCCAGTGCCATGGCCACGTCTACACGTTCACCATGCACCACCGCCACTCCGAGCCCGTCAGAAAGTGGTCCCGCGACGCCGCCGGAATCCCCGCTCCGCCGGAAAAGGGCACCGTCGAGTACTACGCCGACTTGGCCGACCGCGACCGCCTCCTTCGCGGCCGCAAACTCTCCCAAATCGACGCCGGACTCGCTTTCTCCGATGGCAACTCCACCCTCCGCATCAGCTCCCTCGGATTGTACGCTCTATTCTTTTTCAACAATTTAGCTTAAATACACGCATTATATTACACTCTTGTCCAATCATAAATAAATTATTATTATATATATATATATGTTAAAATTGTTGATTTTTGTAATTATTTTATAAATCATCAACCTAATATAAAAAAATCTATACTATTTTTGTTACAATAATTTTCCATGCACCGAGAGTTGTGAAACTCGAGCTTTTCTTTGAAATATTTCCTAAAAGAATCCTATTCTTTAAAATATAAAATATTTAAATATATTTTTATTCCATGAAAAATTTGAAAGTTTTGATTTTAGTTCATGTTAAATTTTTTTTTTCTTTTTCATTCTTATAAAATTAAAATTAAAATTACTATTTTTAGTCTTATGTGATATTTTTTAATTACAATTTATTTATTAAAAAGTTAAGAAATCATATTAAGTGTTATTTATATTCATCACTGATTTTATATCTATATTTAATATCTTTAAAAAGATTTATAGACCCTTGAAATAAATATTATTTATTCATCTTAAAATAAAACAATTAAAAATAGTTAATTTGAATTTTAGAGGAATAAAAATAAAAAATATTTTACCGGAATCAAAATTAAAATTAACTCATTTTATAAGAACAGAAATAATGTTTATAATTTTTAAAAGGATAAAAACAAAAAAAATAAAAATTAAAAGACTAAAATCAGCATCTTCAATTTTATAGGAACTAATAACATACATAATTTGATATAAAATTAATAATTTCACATTAGTGGATAGTTTAAATACACTCACATTATATACTTGTCCATTCAACTAGGGATGGTACAACTTAAACAGTGGCTTCGAGTCCTGTGTATGGTGTTAAATACTTGGAGAAAAAATTTGTTGCACATTGTAATCCTATTTTAGCTTGAACAAGATTGACTTTGGTGGCAGATACAAGTGATCTATGTGCAAAAAGAATCATTTTGTCCAATCATAAATAAACTATTATATATCTTAAAATTGTTGAATTTTACAATAATTATTTTATAAATCATTTACTTGATGATGTCTAAGTAGTTGATCTTTGTTAATGTAATTTTTTTTATACTACTTTTGTTACATTATGATCTTTATAGTGAGAGTTTATGAAACTTCAACTATTCTTTGAAATATTTCCTAAAATAAACCCTATTATTTGAAATATAAAATTAATAATTTAACTTTAGTTGATAGTTCAATGAATGGGGATAATGGCTCAAAGTTCGAATTTTAAAGGAGAGCAGACGTTTTTTTTTTTTTTTTTTTTGGGTAAAGTGGGGAAACAAAGCAAAACAACAGACATGTTTTAAAAAGAAATAGTTTAGATATTAATTAATGTTTGAATTTAGCCATTTTTTGTTACTGGTTTTAGTAATTTTTGTTTTTGGAAATTGATTCTTGCTTTTCTTTTAACGTTTTCTTTTTCTCTTGTTTTTTTTTCTGGAGATTCATACAGTTTGCATTATACGACAGTGCAAATAGGGACACCGGGAGTAAAGTTCATGGTGGCGCTTGATACAGGAAGTGACCTGTTCTGGGTACCCTGTGATTGCACAAGATGTGCTGCTACTGATAGCACAGCCTTTTCTTCAGCCTTGGCTTCAGTAAGCTCTCTTCTGCTTGCTTGTTGAGTTGTGACTGAAACGTGGTTGTATCTGTGGTAGATTGCTTATTTGCTTATGATTATGTAGTGTTGTTCCTGATTGGCTACGGTTTATTTTCTTTTGAAGGATGCTATTAACAAGAAAGAAACTTCTTTTAACATACTCTTGAATACATACTTCTATTACTAGATAAATTTTATGCAGGTCCCATTCAATAACTGGGAAACACTATTTCTCTTTTATTATTCCCTTTTAACTCGAGTGAAAAATATCTTGAAGAGTGGGCTTTTTATGATATGTGGAAGATTATTTTTATGATTTAGATTTGTATGTCCTGTTTTTTGCTTCCTCTGCTTTGTTTCTGAATAGAATCATTGTTATGTCAGGATTTTGACCTTAATGTATACAATCCTAATGGATCTTCAACAAGCAAGAAGGTCACTTGTAACAACAGTATGTGCATCCACCGCAACCAATGCCTCGGGACGTTAAGCAACTGCCCCTACATGGTCTCTTATGTATCTGCTGAAACGTCTACATCGGGAATACTCGTTGAAGATGTTCTGCACTTGACAAAAGAAGATAACCACCAAGACCTTGTTGAAGCAAATGTCATATTTGGGTTAGTTACTTGTAAAATTACCGAAACAAATAAATGTTACACTTATCTAAGTGATTTTATCTTTTTGGCTTCCTCTAATTTTATTTTATTTTTCTTTCTTTTTCTTGGTTATTCAACTAAGAACTAACAATGAAAGTGCATTACATGTGTTGCAGATGTGGACAAATTCAGAGTGGATCATTCTTAGATGTTGCTGCTCCGAATGGTTTGTTTGGGCTAGGTATGGAGAAAATATCAGTTCCTAGCATGTTATCAAGGGAAGGATTTACAGCGGATTCATTCTCCATGTGTTTTGGCCGTGATGGCATTGGAAGGATAAGTTTTGGGGACAAGGGAAGTTTTGATCAGGATGAGACTCCATTTAATATGAACCCATCACAGTAAGTGGTAATTCCCTGTTACTTGCCTCCGATTATCTGAATTTAAAGTAATATTAATACTTGCGAAGATGACTTCTCTTATGCTTGGATACATTTTCCAGCCCTACCTATAACATCACAGTCACTGAAGCCCGTGTAGGAACCACTCTAATTGATGTGGAATTCACAGCACTTTTTGATTCTGGGACCTCTTTTACATATCTGGTTGATCCAACCTATACGAGGCTTACTGAGAGTGTAAGTTCTAAAATGGAACAGAATCTGCTTACATTACATTTGCCTATATGTTATTTGTAGACAAAACTTACCAATGTATTTATATTGCAGTTTCATTCCCAAGTACAAGACAGGCGGCGTCCATCAGATTCAAGAATCCCTTTTGAATATTGTTATGATATGAGGTCTTAAAATTATTGGTTGATTGTTTATAATTCTTTTTAGTATTTTCTTTCAAAGCTAAGTATTCTTTCTTATGATGGGACAGTCCCAACGCAAATACTAGCCTGATTCCTAGTGTGAGTTTAACTATGGGAGGTGGAAGCCATTTTGCGGTTTATGATCCAATAATTATTATCTCTACTCAGGTGGTAGTTCAAGCCGGATTCCTGATCAATATATCCAACAGTTGTATTAGCTTTGCGGATATACTTATAACTAATAATATGTTCCCTTGCCATTTTACAGAGCGAACTTGTATATTGTCTAGCAGTTGTCAGAAGTGCTGAGCTAAACATAATTGGACGTAAGTCTCTTGTACTTTCTGAATAGTTCATGGTTGAATGTGCTTTATGAACCAGAAGTTTTGCTAGAGATTAAGTCAATCAAAAAATACGAGCTTTTTGTTTGCAACATGGTGTCTTGATATCAGTGGCTTCCTTTTTCCTTATATTATATATGCTCGTTATCTTAAATGATTATGTAATATTGATTATTTATGCCTTAGCTTCTAATGTTGATTGCAGAAAATTTCATGACTGGTTACCGAGTAGTATTTGACCGAGAAAAGCTTGTATTGGGATGGAAGAAATCTGACTGTCAGTGGTTCTTGTTCATCTAGTTTATTGTTTATATGCTGAAATATTGTAGTCATGCCTCTGAGCTTTTATGGTAAGAAAAAAATGGTAACACTTTGGGCCCTAAAACAGGTTATGACATTGAGGATCATGATGCCATCCCAACAAGATCACACTCACACGCAGATGTGCCTCCTGCTGTGGCTGCCGGGCTTGGTAATTACCCTGCCACCGATTCAACTAGAAAGACCAAATACAACTCTCCGAGGTCAATTGCATCACCATCTTCACATTATATCCATACTTCACTTCCAACTTTCCTCGGATTTCTTCTATTTTGTTTTGTTTATATTCTATAATCATTCATTTGTATGGGCTAGTTGTAGTTTAGCTCATATTCTTGATCTACTTGTTGATATTAGAGTATCTTGATATAGTCGTGAAGAATATGTATGAATTTTACTCTCGTGATATAACACTGTAAATGCCATTTGCATTGTGTTTCCCTTCTCACAATTATTATTCTGCTACTTATCGGGGAAAGGAGGGAGGATGCATGTTTTCATGTTAAAATTCTCTCAAGTTTAACTTGCGATCTGTAAGCTTGAGACTTCTTAAATGCAATTTATTTATTGGAACATCTGAGGTTTTTATTTCAACGTCAATCCAGACAAGTGTACCTGACAGGAGAAAGAAAAAAAAGGTTAGCAATTTCGATGGCTGTTAAGTAGGCTTTATTTCAACATCATTCCACGAGATATGTTTTTGTACCGCAACCTGGGACGGGATACCTGATCCCCAATTACTTTCACTACATCTGGCCTGTATCTATATATTCTTTCATGATCGAAATACATTATTTTTAATACGCGTTGGATTTAAAGTGGAGATAAAAGCACTCTTATTTATTTTTATTCCACTAATTACATGTAAAATCCAATTTCATTTCACTATTATGTTTGATCAGAATAATTGCACTCGTTATCTGTTTAATTATTCTCACTTACGTAGCATGGATGATGCATTGGATGCGATTGGAGTCTCTTGGTGAAGTATTAAATTGAGATGAATTTGATGAACTCGCTTGCATTACATATTCAGTAGTTAGTGGATGATGCATCGGATAAGACCGGGAGTCCCTTGATGAAGTATTAAGTAGAGATGAATTTGATATAATTGCTTATGTTACATATTCATAAACAACCCCTCTTTTACTTTGTTTACTTTCTCTTCATACTCATGGATAAAGCTTCTTATAAAAAAAAATATGAAATTAAACTTTGTGTAGGGTTTAAGAACACATTCAAATGCAAGATTGATACAATATTCTCTCCAATACTTATTAAATTTAGCATTCATCCTTGTCATATCTTTATTTTCACAAGATAAATTTTTATTCAATCTCATCTAATGTCTATTACTCACATTACGTCTTACTATACTTATTACTAACTTTTAAATTTTTTAATGATAAAAAATTATTAACATTTTAACATTTTTGATTGGGCTTACCTAAGCTAAGTTCATGTGGCCCATTGGGTTAAATGGATTGTGTCAAAATGACTAATTTCTATTTGTCATCTTATTTAAGACTTGACCTTATTTATAAGTTGGTTAGGTTAACTCATTGAGTTAGGTCAAAATTGATAGCTCTAGTAGTGGATAGCATTTAATTTAAAGGCTTTATCTTGATTTTTGTTTTTGTAAGTTTAACATGTTTTGGTTTTTTATTTGGCTAGATTTAAACTACGTATATATACCCACTTTTGTGGGACTTTTGTATGAGTCTCAGAACAAGTCAACCAAGCATATATATTGTTTCAAATAGCATATTAATGTTTTATTAAATTTTTTTTTTCTTTTCAAAAAATATTATACTTATTAGATTATCTATATTATTATTGTTTTTAATAGATGTATCTTGTATTGATACAAATGGAGTTTGTATATATAAAAAAATAGTTAACTTTTAAAAAGAAAAAAAATACAAATTTTGGAAATTTAAAATAATTTTAAATGGTTGGACCCAATTAACTCATTTATATCCAACTTATTCATGATTGTGTTAGTTTGGTTTAAGTTTGACAAAAAATTACACAATATGGATCCAATTCAACTTGTAGAATTTTGATCAAGTTGGATAATAGTTTTAATCAAATCCAACTCAAATCGACTTGTGAACACCCCTAACTCTTAGAACTACTCAAACAAAATGGTGTTGTTCTCTTAAGAATTGGCTAAAATCCTATTAAATGACACTCATATACCAAAGTACTTTATATTAGAAAAAATGACCTAACCAAGAGACGGGTTTGAATTGGTAACTCAAATTTTTTGTCCAACTTTCTTGGTTTTGAAAAACTTATTTAAATCTTTCCAAAGAAGTATGTGGAGAAAAGATAGACACTAAAAGGGAGTTGAATACAATATATCAAAAACTCGCACTTTTTCAAGTATGTGAAAACAGTATCTACAACAAATAAGGGTCAGTATGAGTAATCAATAAACACAATGTTTTTATACTGATTTACCTCAACTACCAATGCTACATCCAGTTCTCAATTCAGTCAGATTGAGTTCCATTAACTTTTAATAAAGTTACAAGTATTCTTTTATCAAGTCACTTTTGACTCAAACAAGTGTTCTTTGATTGACCTTTTCAAGGCACTACCCAAGCATTCTTTTACAGACAAGCCTCTATAAGGTCAACCCCAAGTATTCTTTTATAGACAAGTCTCTCCAGTCTCAAACTCAAGTATTCTTTTATAATCAAGCCTTTTCAAGCTCTATCCTATAAAAATAGTTATGAAGGTATCACAAGGTTGCAGTTGTTGTCTCTTTTAGACGTGATTACAACAAATCATTTTAGCACAAGAAAGCTCTTGAAGAAGATATTCTAAGAGATGTGTATTGTATGTCAGGATTTTTCTATATTTACATTTCTATTCTCTATTGTGTTGAGATTCATGGAGTGGTGAATCAACTCAAACTTGGAGAATGAAGGTTTTGATGATAACAAAATGTGGAGTCTAAGAATCAAAGCTGACCAAGGACATCAACAAGTCAAAAACAAAGTCAAGAAGAGAATATGGCTACCATGATGTGTAATAGGGTTAGCTCATAAGTTGTATTTTTTTAGCCTATTTTGCATGTGTGTGCTTTGTGTATAAGTCAATCTTAATCTAATTTGACTAAGAATGAGTATGATGAAGAGTTAGATACTTGAAAAGTTATTTTGAGATATAAAATAGAGTTTTTGAAAACTGACTCAAAATAATCGATTATCATTAAATATAATCGATTATTCCAGCAACAGGTGAAAAGGATGCCTTGTTGTAATAATCGATTATTTGTGAAATAATCGATTATCCCAGGAAGCACTCTTTAGAATAATCGATTATCCTACAAAATAATCGATTATTCTGTTCTTGGTTGATTTCCAGAAATTATAAAAGAACAAAATAATTGATTATCCTTTAAAATAATCGATTATCTGGTTCAGAAAATGTTATAAATAGTTTTTACACTTTGAAACTTTAGAATAGAGAATGAGTTAACAATCAAAAAGAGAAAAACGTTATTGTGAAGTCTTTGTGACCTTCTTGGAGTGTTTTCTTTGTGAAACCAAGAAGTAAAACATTTTTTTGAAATGCTTTGAAAAATATCATCATCATCATCACATTCTTGGAAGAGAAAGATTGAGATTTGCTTCTGAATTCACAGTCTGATTTGTTCAGCTTCCAGGTAAATTCGTTCTTTTAATTCTTTGTGAATAATTGTAAATCTTGAGTAGGTGTCTCAAGTGGTAAGAAATTCTTGTAGTGGGTTTCTACAAGAGGTGCTTTCTTGGGGTCAAGAAAGTGGTTATCTTGAATGTAGGAGTATATGCATGTGTGGTATGCTTGTAAAACTTCTTCATTGAGATAGTGGAACAAATCTTGATCAGGTTATGATTGAGAACTGGATGTAGGTCACATGTGGAGTGGCTGAACCAGGATAAAAGACTTGTGAAATCTTCTCTTACCCTTATCTTTTACTTTGATTAATATATTGGTTGTGTGTGTTAAAGAGAATAATCTTGATTAACATGTTTGTATGCACAACATTGCTTTAAACTGAATAAAGGTGTTGCATATTGATTGTTCTTAAGTTTGAACTTTATCAAAGATTAATCAAGAAAGCATATAGGACTCATTCCCATTAGCAAGTCTTTCAAGGAACTTCTTTGAGAATTCATATTAGAAAAGTTTAAATTGAAATAAAGATCCTAAGAACTCTGAAAATTTTTAAAGTGTCATAGAATCCAATTCACCCCCCCTCTTGGATTGAGCCATTCTTTTCTATCAATTGGTATCTAGAGCAAGGTTCTTGAGTGTTATTCAAGATTTCAAAAATGGCCAACAACAACCTACCTTATGGTGAGGGTGTGTCTATTCATAGACCTCCTATTTTCAATGGTAAAAACTATGTTTATTGGAAAATTAGGATGAGAATTTTTATTGAAGCAATTGACATTGCTGTGTGGGATGCAATTCAAAATAGACCCTATATCCCTATGACCAAAGATGATGATGGGAAGAGAGAAAAATATTGGAGTGAGTGGAGTGATGATAAGAGAAAAAAAAGCCCAATATGACTATAGAGCAAAGAACATTATTACATCTGCATTGTCTATTGATGAATTTTTTAGAATTTCTCAATGCAAATCTGCTAAAGAAATGTGGGACACTTTGCAAGTCACTCATGAAGGAACATGTGATGTAAAGAGATCTAGAAAGCACACTCTTATAAGAGAATATGAATTGTTGAGAATGAATAATGGTGAATCAATTTCTGATTTTCAAAAGAGGTTTACACACTTGATAAATCACCTTGTTGATCTTAGCAGGAAATTTGAAGAAGAAGAAGAATTAAATTTGAAAGTGCTGCAATGCTTGGATAGATCATGGCAAGCAAAGGTTACTACCATAGAAGAATCAAAGGGCAAAGAAGTGTCACTAAGAGCCCTGAAATCAGTCAAAGGCAAAGAAGTGTGTGAAGAATCAAGCTCCGAAGATTCTGAAACAGAGAACTTCAACTTGCTAGTGAAGAAGTTAAAAAAATTCCTAAGAAAGAAGAGGAATTCCCCCTACAAGTTCAACAAGAAGGCTAATAAGAAAGAGGAAACAAGTACATCCTCTTACAATTGTTTTGAGGGTGGAAAACCAGGACACAAAAAAGTTGAATGTGTAAACCTCTTAAAGAAGCAATAATAGGAAAAGAAAGTGAAGAAAAATGTCAAAGGAAAAAGAGCCTACATTGCTTGGGAAGACAATGACTCAAGCACAACAAGTGATGAATCTGAATTTGAAGAGAACAATTTATGTTTGATGGCTGGAGCTGATCAAGACACAATACTAAGTGATTCTGATGACGCATTAGATGATTGATATGGATTGATATCTGTCATGGGTTGTATTTACTGCATAAGTAGTGTATGATAGAGTGTATGGTGTGACTCTATGAGAATGATTGGTGATTTGATGATTGAGGAACATAGATGTTTATTCTTATGCTTACATGACAGATTATTGAACTCTAGCGGACCCTTTTGTTTCCATGTGGATGGACTGTGATGATCATACTATGTATGAGAGCAGGTCAGGGTTAGGTCGGAGCT